TTCCTTGGACAGTAAGATCAAATCAGTCCATCCTAAAAGAAATCAACCCTGAATATTCATTGGAAGGACTGATGCTGAAGCTGACGCTCCAATACTCTGGCCACCTGATGCAACAAACTGACTCACTGGAAAAGACCCTGATTCTGGGAAAGATTGAGGGCAGGTGGAGAACGGGACAATAGAGGATGTGATGGTTGGATGGCATCACTGATTCAATGGACATGAGTTTGAGCAAGCTCTGGAAGATAGTGAAGGACAGGGAAGCCTGGCGTGCTGCAGTCCAAGGGGTCGCAAAGAGCTGGACACAACAGAGCGACTGAACAACAACAATGTTAATTTAGCAGGATTTCTATAAGGGCTCAGGGAGGTGGTGTTTGCAAACGTCACGGGACAGCTGGCCCCACCCCCGCAGCTGGCCCCACCCCCACAGCTGGCCCCACCCCCCGGGCCGTCAGGCTCCAGGCTCACCTGTGGGTGGTGGCTGAGGCCCCGCCCTCCTCTCAGCCACGCCCCCCCGCCCCCGTAGGTGAGTGCAGAGGCCCCAGGGCGCTAGCCCCGGGAGCGTGGGAACTTCCTGCCACCCTGTTTGTCTTGGGCTGCTTGGGAAGGGCTGCCACCCTCTGTCAGCTCCAGCTCACTCCTGCCAGGTCGCCCAGCGTGAAAGGGAGGAATTGTTCCCGCGACCTTTGCTTTCCTTGTCAAAGGTGCTTTGGGCAAGTACCCACCCCCCCCAAAGATCAGGCCAGCCTCGGTTCCCACTGCCACAGGGGCAGGAGGGACCACCTGTGCACCTGGGAAGTCGAGGGGAACCTGCAACCTCGTCCCTTGCTGGCAAGTGTGAGACCCCGCGCCCCTCTGTCCCCACCCCTGAGCCAGCAGCCAGCCAGTGGCCCTGTCTTACCCCAATATCACACCACCACTTACCTGGTTCCCGTTCCTCTGTGCCCCCAGGACCCAGCATAGGACCCAGCCCAAGGCTCAGAGGCTCTGGCATTCTAATCAGTCAAGCTCCCCAGCCCAAAGAGACACCCCCACCCATCTAGAGCAAGGCATCCCCTTCCTGCCTGCCGCACCCCCCCACCCCCCTCCCGCCCCCAGCTTGCCCTGGGAAGGCGTTCCCCATGCTGGTCTCTGCAGGTGGGTTGGAAATGCTTTCTCCACCAACTCTGTATCACTTGGCCTCAGCCTCCTCCTCCCCCCGGTGATGTGGCCAGCCCACTGTCCCTGCTCTGGCATGGCTGGTGGCCCCAGGGTGTAGCCCTGGCAGCCGTGGCGCCGTCGGTAGGTCAGCCCTGCGGTGGCTGCAGCCAGCAGCACAGCTGGTGTTAAGGGCGGTCTCGGATCACGGAGGCCCCGTTTCCGATTTTCCAGAAGATGCTGATTATTAATGATCATTGTTCTTTCCTTCTGGGGCATGAAAAAAGCAGGTTCAGCTCACAAGCGGAAAAGCAGCGGGTCAAGGTTCCCAGAGTATGAAATGTCAGCCCCTGGTGGCAATGACATTCACCCAGAGGCACTAAAAATAGATGCAATACAGAAGCACCGGGTCTCCGGAGGCTGGAGAAATGAGGTGAACTCAGGGCAGAAACGACACTCACTGATTACGTGTGTGGCTGCATGCAAGGGTTTTACTGTTTTTGGGGGTTTTTTTTTTTCTTCTTAAGAGACAACTAGAAAGTGAACTGGAGAAGGGTCAGTCCAGAAGGACCTTGCTTTTTCATGTATGACCTTCCTGTATGTAAAATGCAGATAGAAACAGAAGCTGCAGCGAGATGTGACCCCAGGCAAGTGTGGGGTTTGGCAGAACTCACACCTTCTTGGTCCAAGCAGGTAGTGTGTTTGTTGTCCTTCCCAGGGATGAGGGACAGGCTACGGCAGCCTGACTGAGACCAGCAGAGTCCAAGAGGATGTCTGTGATGATAGCAATGGTCTGTGTCTGCTCCGGGCAACAGGGAGTTGCTAGCCCCGTGGAGGCATCGAGCCCTTGAGATGTGACTACTGGCTTTCAGCAATAGATTCATTCATTTGATTTCACTTGATTGGATTTAGATTTAAATAGCCATATTTAAATGGTGGCTGGTGGCTACCATTTGGGGCAGCATGGTTTTGGGCTCTAGGGGAAGGAGAGCTGTAATTGATTAGCAATGTCTACCAGGGACATGGGATTAGAAGGTAAGATATGATGCCGTGTCACCGAATGATCAAGGGAACTGGTGTGACCTACGTCACCTGGGGTCCAAGTCGTCGATTCTGGCGCCTGCATAGTTTTCACATTTATTGTTTTTATTATTCGCTGCGCTGGGTCTTTGTTGCAGCATCTTAGTTCCCTGACCAGGAATTGAACCCATGTCTTCTGCATTGGAAGGTAGATTCTTCACCACTAGACCACTAGGGAAGTCCCCCCTACATTTAGAAGAAAAAAAACACCTGTGAAGTTTTCTAACCATACCCCCCCCACCACAATCCTTTAGTCTCACAGTCTTTACTCCAGGCAGCCGCCAGTCTCCTAGCTGGTTTCTGTCCCTGTGGGACCCCATTTCTAATCCATTCTCCACACAACAGCCAGAAGCATCCTTCCAAAATACTAATCCAATTATGTTCCACCCTGCTCAAAACCCTTCCTTAGTCACCACGGCCATCAAGACCCTTCCCCACCATGCCTCTCCTGTCCTGTCCCCTTCCATTCTTCTCCATTTCCCCCCCACTGATGCTGGCTGGGTCCCTTTCTACTCCACTGCCCAGGAAGCCCCAAGGACCAGGGCCAGCTCTTGCCCCCATCTTGGCAGCCCCTGCCCAAATCACAGGATATGAATACCTCCCGCGGAAGGCTCCCGTGATTCCAGGAACGCCCATGCATGCTTTGTTATTGTGCCTGAAAAATAGGAAGACAAATACCATTATTGCTCTGTTTCATAGATGAGGAAGCTGAAGCTCACAGAGGGGAAGGGTTTGGCCAAGGACAGGAGTAGAAATGACAGATGTGAGACCCAGACCTGAGTAGGCATCACGCTCAAACTTGGCTTTCTGCACAGAGCACTCTGCACCAACACTATGGCTGTGCTGAGGTTGGAAACCAACCAAGTCACAAGACTCAGTCCAGTTATTTCTTCCACTAACTCAAACCTGTTAGGTGAAAGAAGGGATGGATGGATGGATGATGGATGACAGATGGATGGATGGATGCAAGGACGGATGGATGGATGGGTAGATGGATGATGGATGGGTGGATAATGGATGACAGATGGATGGATGATGGATGGATGGATAATGGATAGATGGATGATGTATTGGCGGGTGGGAGTGTGAACGGATGCATACTTGTACTCATGAATGAATGAAAAGTCCACAAAACATGGTAAGAAGTGAAGTAAAAGGTCATGACTAGGGAAGTGGGTGAGATAAAGGTCTGCCTTTTTCTTAACCGTTTTCCAGGTTTATCAGAAAACCAGGTCATGCAAAAAATCCTTTGAGACGTTTGTTTTTAAAGAGACAAAGTAAACGGTAAGCCCTGTGTGCCTATCAAGAAAGCCCCGGGCTGTGCCGGGGCCTGCTTCCTTCTCTCCTCCTCCCCTGCCACCACCCCCTCCTCCCCTGCCAGCTCGCTGAGCTCCTCCCCAACGCCGCTTTCCCATGGGAAGGCTGAGAAACAATAGCAATTTCTTCTGAATGAAACTCTTCCCTGAGCCAAAGAGTAAACAGGAGTCAGGGAAGAGCCGGCGCGTGGCTGCTCTGCGGAGATTACATAACCAGGACGTACCTGGGAGAGGCACTGATCCAGGGGATTTTTATCAGAGGTGGGAGAACGCGGGTCACACCCAGCGCAGGAACGGCTGTGCAGATACCTGGCCCCGCTGGGAACTGGAGCCACCGTGTCCGGGAGGAAGCGGCCCTTTCCAGGGGCGTTCTTACACTAAGATAGGTCCCTGCATGATCTGATCATTTTGTTTCATCTTTGCAACAGTGCTCCAAGGTGGGCACAGTTACAGGCCCTTTTCTAGGTGAAAAAAATAGAAATGAGATGCATACAGGAGCCGTCTGCTGCCAGTCACAGAGCTGGGCTCCGCGCCTTCTGACTCCAGGACCTGTGCGGTTAACCACCTCCCACCTCTGATTTCTCTCCATGTCTCTCTCCCTCCCTCCCATTAAGTCTTGTGTCCATCTACTCTTTCCATTTTCCATCCATCCACCCCTCAGTCCCCGTCGGTTTTTCTCTCCCTCAGGACTGGGCCTGCATCAGGAGAGGAGCCAGACAGAAGCGGGAACACCCGCTGCCCTTGAAAGTCTAAGCTTCTGAGATGCGTCGGGGTCCATCTGCAGTGTGATCTCATCACTTCTATGTACAGGACCCTTTCTGCGCGTGAGAGACACGGAAGGAGTTTTGTGATGTTTTCTTGCCTAATGTGCAAAGCAATTCCCAGGATGGCTCTGCCCTTTGGCAGAAGAAGAGTGAGATCCACAGAGCCTCAGGAGCCTTGCCCTGGAGACCTGAGGGTCAGGGAGGGCTTCTCAGAAGGGGAGCCTGAGTGGGCTTGGGCAGGGTACCCAGGAGACCCTCAAGCAGAGGAGGAAAGAGTGGGTGCACCTCTGGCACACAGCCGTGATATAAAGGGGAGGCGGTGGAAAGATGGGGTCCCTCATTTGACTCAGAGGCTGCCGGCCTCAGAGCTCCCGGAGTGGGAGCTGGAGAAGACCCCAGGAACAAGCGAGCCGGGCCGAGCACAGGCAGCCCAGAGCAGGGGCCTCAGTGCTAGGGCATGGCTGAGTCAGACCAACCCTTCTCTTGAACAAGCATCTCTCCTCTCTGAGGGTCATAGCCCCACCCGTAGAGTAGGGATGGGGGAGGACCCATGAGAGCCCATAGCGATGCCCGCTGGACACGGCGAGCCCGTAGCCACGTGTGTGCCTCTGGGGGGGCTACATGAGGAGGAGGGAGCCCATAGGCAGGCAAGGCCTTGGGCCTGACACCCCTGCCTCCGGGGCCATCCGGGCTCCTGGGCCAGACCAGCAACCCCCAGGAGTGGGCCCCAGGGTACAAGTCTCGTCATGCAGGAGGCCTCCGTCTCCTGCGGTGCCCGGGGGCTGCCAAGCACCACGCTGCCAGTACGTAAGCCGCCTACACTGCCACGCAGAGCGGCCGTGTTACTGCGCAACTAGATTCCTCTATTTACCTTCCGTGGGGAAGGGACGGCCCGCCTGGGAGGGCGGGCAGAGATGAGCTCAGAGGCCTTTGGCTTGATTGCTGCTGCACACCCGTGCCTGGCCGCTGGGCTGGGGTGGGGGCACGTCGGCGGGGGCAGGGGGAAGCTAGGTCCCGGGAGCGTGGGCCACACACCTTTGCAGTGGTCAGCCTGTGCCAGGAGAGGCAGGGCTTCCCTGGCAGGCAGCTGCAGGCCAGGCCCAGGTCACACCTGCGTGGCAACCATCTGATGGCCCCCGACGGCTCCAAAGTCCTGCCTGCTATTGGCACCACTCAGCTGCATTGGGTGGGCAGATGGCCATCTGATCAGGACAGCAGAGTTGGGAGACTAGAGGAACAAGACTGGGGCACAGCCCTGGATGCCACAGTCATTCCTCCAGGACACAAACATTTATTAAGAACCCACAACGTGCTGCACTCTCTGTTCCCCACTGTGTGAGGACACGACGAGAGGGTGACTGCCTACAAATCCAGGCGGGCTCTCACCAGACGCTGGATGCCAGCACCTTGATCTTGGACTTCCCAGCCTCCAGAACTCTGAAAAATAAATATTTAGAAATCAACTCTGAATACTCATTGGGAGGACTGTTGCTGAAGCTGAAGCTCCCATACTTTGGGCATCTGATGTGAAGAGCCGACTCACTGGAAAAGACCCTGATGCTGGGAAAGATTGAGGGCAGAAGGAGAAGGGGGCGACAGGGGATGAGATGGTTGGATGGCATCACCGACTCAATGGACATGAATTTGAGCAAGCTCCGGGAGATAATGAAGGACAGGGAAGCTTAGTGTAATGCAGTCCATGGGGTGGCAAAGAGTCAGAAACGACTAAGCAACCGAACAACTTTCAAGGAAAAAACCTACTATGCACAGAATATATCTTACATGTTTTTCTTTAATTTCCAGAATAGTCTCAAAGTTCATATTCTTGTTTTACACAGGAGGAAACTGAGGCTCAGAGAGACGAGTGACTGACCCAAGACCACACGACTAATGAGATGACGGAGTTAGGATTTGAACCAATGTCTGTCTGTCTGAGAATAGTTATTTCCAATATATATGTGACCCTGGTGCCTCAATGTTTTCACCTGAGTAGGGATGGTCATACAGTCCAAGAAATGACATCACTCTGCACTGTGTGGCCAATAGGGCGACTTTGTGCAGCATTATCTATTCATGGATATTTGGCTGGATCAATGAATCAGGTGGATGGACGGTGGGACAGCTAGATATGGATACATGGTTGGATAAGCGACTGCCACATTTATAAGTAGGGTGGGAAGACAGAGGGATGTATAGATGGTTGAATGGATGAATGGATGGGTGGATGTATGGATGGATAAACCTGTGAATGAGTGGGCCAAGAGATGGATGAATGGATGAATAGATGAATAAGTAAGCAATGAATGGATGGATGAGCCAATGGATGGCGGACGTGTGTCTGGATGACTGGAATGAAAGACAGAAGTCTGGATGGAGAGATGGGTTTAAAGTTAGGTGAGTGGGGGGATGGATGGGTCCCTGCTGATCAAACTCTAGGTGCACAAGAGACTTCCTCAAACACCCAGCTCCCAGCCCAAGCTGAGGCTCAGCTCTGTGGTCCAGGTGCTGTCAGTGTCCCCTTATGGAGCCAGTGTCCCCTCTACTGTTCCAACAGCCCGCTGCAGGCAGAGGCGTGTCATCAGCCACTTTCCCTCCCAACCGGAGAAGCTGGAGACACATCTCCAGCCTTGACACTCGCCTGACGCGTCCTGGAAGGCCCTGCGCATCTTGGGGATTCTGTCACAGGTGGGCAGCAGGACAGGAGTGGAAACCCAGCAGGTACTGGCCTAGAGGCCCCCTTGTAGTTGCCGGTGCTACTGCTCACAGGTGAGGGGTCTCAGACACACGGGCCAGGACCATTTCTGGGCTCGTCCAGCTTCAGCAGATTGAGATTCCGGCCAAGAAAACCAAGTCCCGGCAGCCCACACTGAAAAGGCAGCTGGAGGAGAAAAGACCCTGGGTTTATCTGGGCTCCTAATCTTGCCTCATAGTTTCACTGACTTAGACTTTATTTTCTTAGGCTCCAAAATCACAGCTGATGATAACTGCAGCCATGAAATTAAAAGATGCTTGCTCCTTGGAAGAAAATCGTGACAAACCTAGAGAGCATATTAAAAAGCAGAGACATTACTTTGCCAACAAAGATCTGTATAGTCAAAGCTATGGTTTTCCCAGTAGTCATGTATGGATGTGAGAGTTGGACTCTAAAGATGGCTGAGTGCCAAAGAATTGATGCTTTTGAACTGTGGTGTTGGAGAAGACTCTGGAGAGTCCCTTGGACTGCAAGGAGATCCAACCAGTCAATCCTAAAGGAAACCAACCCTGAATATTCATTGGAAGGACTGATGCTGAAGCTGAAGCTCCAATACTTTGGCCACTTGATGCGAAGAGCCAGCTTCTACGAAAACACCCTGGTGCTGGAAGATTGAAGGCAGGAGAAGGGGAAGACAGAGGATGAGATGGTTGGATGGCATCATCGACATGAGTTTGAGCAAACTCCGGAGATGGTGAAGGACAGGGGAGTCTGGCGTGCTACAGTCCATGAGGTCTCAAACAATCGGACCGACTGAGTGACTGAACGACAACACTCTCACCTGGCCAAAGGTGTCCCCTCGGATGTGTGTTGAGATAAAATCAACCCCTCCTCTGGGACCACCTTCCCATCTCTGTCTTAAGCCTGTATGGAAGATAGCATGGGTCAGGAACATGGGGATTTTTCTGGGACTGGAGCCTGGGGTGTCCTGGGCCTGGCAAGGAGGGGCCTGTGGGAGAATTGGGGAGGGTTGTAGGCCACCATGTGCCACACATGCCCCAGAGCATGTTGGGGCGGGGTGCGGGGGCGGGGGGGTGCTGGAAAGTCCAGCAGTGGGAGCCAGAGGCCCTGGGAAGCCTGAGGGAGACATGGTCCCTTCCGAGGCTCCCCTGTCCCCTTCTGTGTTCGTCCTGGCCTCAGCAGGTGGATGCCTGGCGCTGACCTCCTGCCATGATGCGGCTCTCTTCTAGGGGTCACTGTGGCACCCCAGCCCTTCCCACCAAACTGAGTGGCCAGGCCTGGGAGGAGCAGGAGGGGCCAGGGAGGAGACAGGGGTTCACCGTTCCCAGCACACCCAGCGCGAGCTGCCTGCCCCTCACTGATCAGACGTCAATCCCATCCCCCGGGAAGCGGAGGGCAGGCCCTGCACCTTGTCAATCTTCTGGGCCATTCGCAGCCTGAGCCCCAGAGTTCCCAGGCCCCGATGGCAGGGTCCCCCCCTGGCCCAGGCCTGGGGTCCCGGCTCCTCCTGAGGCCTGGCATCTGCCATCGCAGTGCTCGGCTCACGGAGCCCACCCGAGACCCTCGCAACCGCCCAGCCGTAGAGCACGTGAGGCGCTTGCTAGGCTGCGGGCTGGCCCCCACTGTGGGTTTGGGGAGGGGCTGCCAGCCCTCCAAGGCTGGACAGCAGAGCCTCTTCCAGCTGCTCCCCTGGAAGTTCAAATGCTGGGACTGGAGGTGAGCCTGGCCAGGGCAGCGGGGGCGGCGACAGGCAGGGTTTGGGGGTCCTTCTTCATGCCCACACTGGCCCTCTGTCCCCTCGGGGCATCCCCCTTGGTCTGACCAGGGGCCTGAAATTCCCTTGAGCCCAGCCCTTCCTGATCCCCTTGCAGCCGACTGGTTCCCTGGCTCTGATCTCTCCAAGTCTCTCCCTGCCCCTGCGCGCTGACCCTCATCCTCACTGGATCTTCGCTGGTCTCTGCTCAGCCCGGGGGGTCCAGCTTTGAGCCTAAGGTCTGGGAAGCCCCTCTCTGCCCCGGTGTCTCGTTTCCAGGCCTCCTCTGCATAAAGCCAGCATTGCTGGCCCCCAGGGTCCTCTCTGCCCTCCTGTCTTTTCTCCATTCCTGGGCAGGATGGGGAGACCCCTGTTTCCAACCTCCCCGGGGGCCAGCAGCCCAAGGAGAGATTCCACTGATGTTTTTCTGTGACTGCGTGGAACCCCAGCACCTGATCAGAACCAAGTTCGCTACTCTTGGTGGCCTGGCTATTTTCCCTCCATTCATGGAGGTAGAAAGGGGTCCCCACCCAAGGGAGCAGACATTCATCTACTCTCCTTGCCCCATTCCCCAGCATGGAGGGTTCTGGAGGGTCCCTTCCACCCACTCACCCTGCCCCCACCCCCATAGGGGAAGGAAGCACCATCTGGGGCAGGGGGGCCAGACACCCTCCAGACACAACCCCCCTGAGGAAATGAAGCTCACAGCTCTGCAGACACCCACTTAGTGTGGAGAGAACACGGATACACACAGTCTCCACTTCCCAAAGCCAATTCTAGTTCCACGGGATGTCAGTAGGATCAGAGTTTAAGGGGGTCACAGAATGAGGCCAAGTCTTTCCTGAGGACTGGGTCAGAGCCTTTCCTCTGTGCCTCCAACAGGAGAGAACAAGCAGAGTTTCTCAAGCTAATCTGACCTCAGAAATTCTTTACCAGGAACATCTTATGGGGCCAGTGTTCCTTGGAACCCTCTTTGAGAAACACTGCCCAAGGTGCCCACGAAGCCCTGAAGTGCTGAGTTCATGGCTCTGGCCCAGCCTGGTGTGGAGTTGGAGTTGGAGGAAGATGCTGAGAAAGCTCCAGGTAGCAGATGTGGACTCCTGGCACCCTTTACCCACACTCAAGGACTGAGGACTGCCACTGTCTCCTTGCCCTGGGGAGTAGGTGACATCAAAGCCCACAGCACCACCATCAAGGACGTGGGAGCCAAACGGCTGCCTTTCTGGGCCCCTGGAGACACAGCACAGTCCCCCATGGTCCAGAGGAGCCTGCAGCCTGGGACAGAAGCTTCAGGGGGCAGCAGGAAGGCCAGGACAGGTGGCTGGGTTCCTTGGGGAGGAATAAGACGGGGTGGGGGTGGGGGTCTGCATCTGTCCCTCCAAGACCTCTCTTCACCCGCTATACTCTCCCCTTGCCAGGAGCCTCCAGCAGGCAGGATCCCAGGATCTGGGAGGTCTGGCCACAGAGCTTGCAAGTGTGGAACCTAGTTTGAGGGGTCCCAAGCACTTGTGAGCAGGCACCAGGCAGGTACCAGCTGGCACCACTCCCCAGCCCCCTGGGTGGTTGCCCCGCACCCCTGTCCTTCAGCCTGACCCTGAAGTCATCGCATTCCCCAGCAGCACCTTTGACCCCGCTGGAGCCTCTTCTATTGATTCAGCGTCTAATCTGGTTTCCCATCTGATTTGCGAAGGGTCCTCCACGCCTCTCCTTTCCTCCTGTATTTCCTAATCCTCCGGGTACTGCTTACTTAGCACTCCTTCCTGAGCTCCGGCCAGTGCCTCCTTCCCCTTGACATTCCTGCCTCGCCGTCCCCCGCCCGCCCTCCCAGCCATGGCCCTGCCTCACCGCAGGGCCTGAGCCTGGCAACCTCAAGCCCGGGTGCATTGCTGGAGCTCACAGCGTCCGTCCTTCCCCGCCTTCCCTCCACGTGACCGGCTTCCCCTGAGTGCTCCTCTGTGTCTCCTCCGTCGTCCTCTTCAGACACAGCACATCACTGCGGGCTCTCACAGGCCTCCTGGAGCAGTTATAGCATCCCCTCGGCCCCCACCCTTGAGGATGATGAGTTTATGCCCACTGTGCAGGTGAGCAAACTGAGGCCGGAAGTTGCTCTCAGTTGCTCCATTCACACAGGTAGGAGTGGTGATGGTCTAGTCGCTCAGTCGTGTCCGACTCTTGCGACCCCATGGACTGTAGCCCTCCAGGCTCCTCTGTCCATGGGATTTTCCAGGCAAGAATGCTGGAGTGGGTTGCCATTTTCTTCTCCAGGGGATCTTCCCGGCCCAGGAATCAAGCCCAGGAGACCTGCATTGCAGGCAGATTCTTTCCCAACTGAGCTACTGGGGGAAGCCCAGGTAGGAGAGCCAGGACTAAACTCTGGACTAAGGTCTAGAAGGCTGTTCTGGTTGGCATTTCATAGCCTGATACTCACACTGACCTGTGACAGGTGGCCCTGTGACGACTCTGAGCCTTGGGCCCCAGGGAAGCCAAACGTCACCGAATGTGACCCAGGCTCTGACACTGTCCTGACTTGAAAAGCCCAAGGCCCCCTCGCTGCTGAAAGTGAAAGTGAAGTCGCTCAATCGTGTCTGACTCTTTGTGACCCCATGGACTGTAGCCCACCAGGCTCCTCCATCCATGGAATTTTCCAGGCAAGAGTACTGGAGTGGGTTGCCATTTCCTTCTCCAGGGGATCTTCCTGACCCGGGGATCGAACCCGGGTCTCCCGCATTGCAAGCAGACGCTTTACCTCTGAGCCACCAGGGCACCCCTCTGTTCCCTGCTGGACACCCTCTATTCACCCATTGCAGGCACCCCGGGCGGGAGGCGCCCTCCACGTGAAACATCAGGCTTTGATGATCCGGTGGACAGGGGATTCTGCGCCTAATTGTTGATGGTCTGCAAGGTGGGCGGGCACTGGAAAGGCGCACCTGGCAAGCTTCCATCCCTGCCCCGCGAGAGGGCGGGTCCCAGCCGCGAGCCGCCCCCAGCCCGCCTCCCTCACAGGAGCACGGGGGCGGGGCCTGAGCCGGGGCTCCGCAGGCTTGGGCTCTTGGGCAGCGGGACCCCGGGCAGGACTCACAGGGGCCAAATAGGGGGCTCTCGTTCAAAAAATCATGAGGTGCTTCCAGGTAGCTACTGCGGAGCAGAGTCAAGCGTGCACCCTGCAGGGCGTGGGGCCCAGTTACACGATCGCTCGCCCTGGAGCTGGCCCGACGCTGCGGTCAAGACGCGCAGCAAAGTGCGTGGTATCAAGAGAAGGCTGAGCTGGTACTGCAGCCCCAGGCTAGGTGGGCAGGGGGAGGCGCCTCAGAGGCCCAGGGGACCCCTGAAGCCCTCTCTCCGTGGGGGCATCAAAGCCTGATGTTTCACGTGGAGGATGCCTGTCCCTGTGTGACGGTAATAGGTGAACAGAGTATAGTGGGGGCGGGGGGCCTCTCCGCGTATGGCATGGGTGACCCAGTCCCAGCGGGGGCCTTGGAAAGCGGCCAGCGGGTCCTTTCGCACTGCCGGCAAGGATGACCAAGGCCGGGGCAGCAACCTGCCTGAGGTCACCTGGCTGGTCAGGGGGAGAGCTGGGACCTATATGGTGTCAGCCCAGACCTGGAACCTTCCACCTCCCTGGAATTCAAGAGGAGCAGTTTGTGTCTAGAGCAGGGGTCCCCAACCCCCAGGTCCCAGGCCAGTACCAGCCTGGTGCTTATTAGGAATGATGCCACACAGCAGAGGAGCAAGCAAAGTTTCACCTGCCGCTCCGCACTGCTCGAATTGCCACCCGCACCGTCTTCCCCCGCATCCCCTGCCCTCAGGGTCTGGGGGAAGATTGTCTTCCGGTAAGTAGGCGACAACATAGGATGAGATGGTTGGACGGCATCACTGACTCAGTGGACATGAGTTTGAGCAGGCTTGGGAAGTTGGTGATGGACAGGGAAGCCTGGCGTGCTGTGGTCCATGGGATCGCAAAGAGTCGGACACAACTGAGCAACTGAACTGAACTGAACTGAGGCCGGGGACTGCTGTTCTAGAGGGTAAAATAATCAGGCCATGTCAGCCACCGTGAGATGCAGCCCAGCGCGGGGAGGGGGTGTGGGGCTCATGCTTTTAGAACCAAAGTGGGAAATGTTCTCGCTCTTGGCCCTGGATACCCAGTGGTCACTGTTTACTCAGCTGTCTTCCCACCAGACTGAGGCTGCCACAGCAGGTGCTCGGCAAGTCTTTGCAGGGAGGATGGGGGGTTGGGTGGTAGGTGAGTGGTGGGCGGGTGAGCAGACAGTGGATTGAGAGGGCAGAGAGAGGGGTGGATGGTACTATAGACTGAATGTATCCCCCTCCGAAACTCACATGCTGAAATCCTAACCCCCCAAAGTGATGGTATGAGGAAGTGGGGGCTGTGGGGTGATGAAGTCCTGGGGGTGAATCTTCATGGATAGGATTAGAGTCTTTATAAAAGAGACCCTGGAGGGCTCCTTCCCCGCTTCTGCCATGTGAGGACACAGAAAGAAGTTGGCCATCTATGATTCAGAAAGGGGTCCTCACCAGATACCAAATCTGCTGGCACTTTTATCTTTTCCAGCCTTCAGAACTGGAAGGAATAAATTTGTGTTGTCTATAAGCCACCCAAGTCTATGGTATTTGTTGTAACAGGTCAAGTGGACTAAAACGGATGAATGGATGGATGGATTAGATGGATGGATGGGTGGATGGATAGATGGATAGATGGATAGATGGATGGATGGGTGAATGGATGGATGGATGAATGGATGGGTGGATGGATGGATAGATGGATGGACTAATGGATGGATAGATGGATGAATGGGTGGATGGGTGGATGGATGGATGGATAAATGGATAGATGAATGGATGGGTGGATAGGTGGATGAATGGATGGGTAGATGGATAGATGGATAGATGGATAGACAGATGGATGGGTGGATGGATGGATGAATGGATGGACTAATGGATGGATGGATAGATGGATGAATGGGTGGATGAGTGGATGGATGGATGAATGGATGGACTAATGGATGGATGGATAGATGGATGAATGGGTGGATGGGTGGATAGATGGATGGATGGATGGATGGATGGATGGATGAATTTGGACAGGCATGATCTCATTGGCATAAATGAACTGTTGTGGGGGTGGGGACCACATAGTGGAAAAAGAACCCACTGCAGATGAGGACCTGGTGCTTCCAGGGAGCAGGGGCTAAAGGGGCCCTGCAGAGGTAGTGAGGGCAGACCCTCTCTCCTAGTCCAGGGATGGGGGGCTGTGGGAAGCAAGGAGCAGAGGGGACCACATCCAGCCAGGTGGGGAGGAGGAAGGAGCAGGTAAGATTCTCAGGAGCACCCTTCCCACCCCCAGATCTAGGTCACCTTATTCTAGAAAGGCAAGCCACAGCTGGGCTCTTCTTTCTAATGACAGCCTTATTGAGACATAACTTATGTTTTGTACAATTCATCTATTTAAAGTATTTTTAGTGAATTCCCAGAGCTGTGTACTCACCACTACCATCTTATTTTCGAACATTCAAATCACTCCTAAAAGAAACTCTGCACCATTAGTCATCAGCCCCGGGAAGACACTAATATATTCTCTGTCTCTATAGATTCACCTATTCTGGACATTTCGTCTAAGTAAAATCATACAATAAGTATTTTTTGTGTGTGACTGGCTATATTCACTCAGCATGCTGTTTTCTAGGTTCATCCATGTTGTAGCGCTTCCATCAGTAGCGCTTGTTGTTGCATCCATCAGTATCAGCGCTTCATTCCTTTTTATGGCTAGATAATATTCTATTGCCCTGCCATAGTTTATCCATCCGTCCATCAGCTGATGGGCGCTTGTGTTGTGTCCAGCCTAGTGCCGCTGTGAACACTCATGTCAAAGTATTTGTTTGAGGACCCATCTTCATATCTCTTGGGTATCCACCTAGGAGTGGAAACGCCGGATCATACAGTGGCTCTGCTTTTAACCTTCTGAGGAGCTGCCAGGCTCTTTTCCACTGTGGCTGCACCATTTACATTCCCACCAGCAGCACAAGAAGGTTCCAGTTTCTCCACATCCTCGTGGACACTTGTTACTGTCCGTTGTTAACAAGGGAAGGAAGGCCAGAGTGGGCCAACTTGAAAGGGTCCTGCCCAAGGAGCTGAGACCACCGCCTGGGGCCCCGTGGGGACTCCTTGGAGAGTCACCCAGACAGGGCTCAGCTGGAGGGTGCCTGCCCTGGCCAGTGGTTCATGCTGGGTCCCACTGAGGACAGCCTGGTAGAAAATCAGCACAGCCAAGCAGGCTCTGATCATGAAGCTGAAGGTCTTCCAGCACGTCAAGTCACATTGCCAACACTGATGTCTGGCCCTTTAGGTTTTAAAGGGCCCCAGAAGTTTTAAACATGTACATTGAAGGCGCAGAAGGACCCATCCCTTAATCTCACCATCCACCTGGAAATTTCCAGATGAATGTTGACATCACAAGTGTGAGCTCTAAGGAAACATCTTGCTCAAATCTAAACCTGACTCTGGAATCTCCCTGAGCTGGGGTTACAAGCTGATGTAGCCACAGACCCCACAGAGTAAGAACTTTCTAGATACTTCCTTCATCACCACATGTGATTGGTTTTGCCCTGCTTCCCCCGGGCCTGCCACATCCTAATTCTCTAACCTCAGTGAGTGAGCTATGAAATGCTTCAAAATCAGTTTAACACGAAAAGGGTAAGATCTCTATGGTGAAAATGACAAAACGCCATTGAAGAACTAAAGTCCTGAATCAATGAGGAGAAATGTTCTCCAAGAAAAAGACATTACTGTCACAATTGGCCAAATTTCCAAGGATTAATATATTTATTCTAATTCATTCTGGATCCCAGCAGGATTCTGAATTTGGGTCTGAGTCATTTCTTTAGAAACTAGACGAAATCTTCATTTTTAAAAAATTGAACCATATGAATAACTCCCCTGGTGGTCCAGTGTTTAAGACTCCATGCTCTCACTGCAGGGCCATGGGTTCGATTCCTGGTCAGGGAACTAAGATTCCGCATGGCCGATTCTGATGTTCAAGTGGAAAAATCAATCTATAAAAACTGTCAGAACAACTTTGAAAAGAGACCTCGCAGGGGTTGTGACCAACTAGATTTTAAACCTCATTCTACAGCTGTGGTCGTTAAACAGTTTCTACAATGGGAACAGACAGGGCAGCGGAAGAAATAGAGTCCAGGCACTCCTCCAAGTATATACAGGAACTTAAAATATGACAAAAGACAGAATTTTTTATATGAAAGAGTTGGGACAATCAACCATCCATTTGGAAAAAGTCAAATTTAAATCCCTACCTCACACCATTGCTACTGCTAAGTCACTTCAGTCGTGTCCGACTCTGTGCGACCCCATCCCTGGGATTCTCCAGGCAAGAACACTGGAGTGGGTTGCCATTTCCTTCTCCAATGCATGAAAGTGAAAAGTGAAAGGGAAGTCACTGAGTCATGTCTGACTCTTCGAGACCACATGAGGCTACCAGGCTCCTCTGTCCATGGGATTTTCCAGGCAAGAGTACTAGAGCGGGGTACCATTGCCTTCTCTGACCTCACACCATAGGTAAGAGTAATTTCCAAGTGAATCCAAAGAAAGGAGCATTGTTTTTTTAAAAGCTATGAACATATGGAAGATCATAGAAGCTAATATTCTTACAATCCCACTGTGCAGGAAGTCTTCCTAAGCAAGACCGGAAATCATAAGCCACTGAGAAAAAAAAAAAAAACAATAAAAATTGAGTACACAACACATGCAAAATCTTCCAAGGCTGTGCTCTAGGAAGCCCACTCCGGTGGCCGGTATGGGAGAAGCCTTGGTGGAAGATGCTGGCCAGAAGGTGATGAGGAGTCCTGGGGGAGGAAAGTGCACTTGGTCCTGCAGGGAGGTATCAGAGAGAGCCAGCGCTGTGGCCAGCAGAGGTGAAAGAAAGGTACCAGCATTGCATTAGAGTTTAAAACACATATGATAGAAACAAACTTTATTTGTGTATGAACAAAGTTTGCCTTTCCCTAGGCATCAACAGTGCTAAAGAGAGCTTCATCTCCACCCAATCAGATTCGCTCCAGAAGACACCATGGTGTGTGTTTGATGGAGAATGGAGATGTCAGCTCTCAGGTGAGTCAGGCTGAGTGGAGCCCGTGAGGCGTCAGCCCAGGTAGGACGATGAATAAAAAACAGGGAGAGGGACAGGCTGCGGATCAGACACTGCAGGCCACTGCCGCCAGGAGGAGGCTTCTGGGGCTGCTGGCACCAGATACGCAGGGGTTCGAGGGGCCAGGCGGCCTCTGAAGGCGGCCCCCTCTGCACCCCCAGCTAGGTGTTTGCTCCTTCAGCAGTTCTCAGACTGTGCCCGAGACTCACCTAGAGCACTCATTAAGACAGACAGCTGAGTACCTCGGTGTACCCCAGTGTTCATCGCAGCACTATCTACAATAGCTAGGACATGGAAGCAACCTAGATGTCCACTGACAGATGAATGGATAAAGAAGTGCGGT